AAGGCGGAAGAGTACATACCCCTGTAGATTACAATCAAATCAAAGAATTGGCCGAATCCGTTCGTAATTATGGGGTCAATGCTAACTTTACCACAATACAGGTAGAAAGGCTTGCTAATTTTGCCATGACTCCCACTGACTGGCAGACGACAGTGAAAGCAGTGCTTCCCAACATGGGACAATACATGGAATGGAAGGCTCTCTGGTATGATGCAGCCCAGGCACAAGCTAGAGTTAATGCCACGGCTGAAGATGAGAATCAGAGGCAGTGGACATTTGAAATGCTGACAGGTCAGGGTCAACATGCCCTTAATCAAACCAACTACATCTGGGGTGTCTATGGTCAGGTGTCGGCCGCCGCTATTAAAGCATGGAAGGCCCTCACAAAAAGGGAGAGTCCAGTGGACACCTTACAAAGATTGTCCAAGGACCCCAAGAGCCATTTTCAGACTTTGTGGCCAGAATGACAGAGGCCGCCAGTCGCATCTTTGGTGATTCAGAACAAGCTATGCCCCTGATTGAGCAACTTGTCTATGAACAAGCAACCCAGGAATGTCGAGCGGCTATCGCCCTCGCAAAAGCAAAGGTTTACAAGATTGGCTCAGAGTGTGCAGGGAGCTGGGGGACCCCTAACCAATGCAGGACTAGCTGCCGCCATTTTACAAACGCACAGGCATAGAGATTTATCTAGTCGAAAAGCTTGTTTTAATTGTGGGAGAATGGGGCACCTTAAGAAAGATTGTCAAGCCCCTGAAAGAACAAGAGAATCGAAGCTTTGCCATCGTTGTGGTAAAGGTTATCATAGGGCTAGCGAATGCAGGTCAGTCCGGGATGTAAAAGGGAGGCTTCTGCCCCCTATTGAAGAACCCAAGGTACCCCAATCAAAAAACGGGTCACGGGGCCCATGGTCCCAGGGCCCTCAGAAATATGGGAACCAATTTCAGAAAAGCAATCAAGAGGAAGTAGAGGTTTCCGAGGAACCCCCGGAATGGACTTGCGTGCCGCCTCCGACTTCTTACTCATGCCCCAAATGAATGTTCAACCGGTCCCAGTCCATTCCCCTGGACCTTTGCCCCCTGCCACCATTGGGCTTATTCTGGGCCGTGGCTCCTTAACTTTACAGGGACTCATTATATATCCTGGAATTGTTGACCCGTATCATAAAGAGGAGATTCAAGTTCTCTGTTCTAGCCCTCGGGGTGTATTTTCTATAAAGCAGGGAGATAGAATTGCACAACTGGTGTTGCTGCCCTCCCTCGGGGATGGAGAAACCTACACTTTACAAAAAAGGGCTATGGGATCTTCTGGAAGTGATTCAGCCTATCTGGCTATACCCCTAAATGAGAGACCTACAATAAAATTGTTAATTAATGGAAAAGAATTTGAAGGGATAATGGATACGGGAGCAGACAAAAGCATTATTTCACTCCATTGGTGGCCGAAGTCTTGGCCCACTGTTGTTTCATCTCATTCTCTACAAGGTCTTGGATACCAGTCCTCTCCTGCCATCAGTGCCTCAGCCTTAACCTGGCGGAATGCTGAGGGCAAACAGGGATGTTTTACCCCTATGTGTTGCCACTCCCTGTAAATTTATGGGGACGGGATGTGTTACAAGCCATGGGCATGACCCTAACTAATGAATACTCCCCCAGGCATCAGCCATTATGGCAAAGATGGGGTATACAAAGGGTAGAGGCTTGGGTAGGCAAGAACAAGGCAGAATAAAACCCATTACGCAACACGGAAATCGGGGTAGAAAAGGACTGGGTTTTATTTAGGGGCCGTTGAGGCTTCACGACCCATACCATGGAAAACAGAGGAGCCGTTATGGGTCTCTCAATGGCCTCTATCCTCTGAAAAATTAGAGGCTGTCACAAGATTAGTGCAAGAACAGGAACGGCTGGGGCATCTAGAGCCTTCTACCTCCCCATGGAATACACCAATTTTTGTTATTAAGAAGAAATCTGGGAAGTGGAGATTACTCCATGACCTGCGGGCCATTAACAATCAGATGCATCTTTTTGGCCCTGTTCAAAGAGGCCTTCCTTTGCTTTCTGCACTTCCTCAAGATTGGAAGCTTATTATTATAGATATTAAGGATTGTTTCTTCTCTATTCCACTTTACCCACGGGATAGACCAAGGTTTGCCTTCACTATCCCTTCTCTTAATCATATGGAACCAGACAAGAGATTTCAGTGGAAGGTACTGCCGCAAGGCATGGCCAATAGCCCAACAATATGTCAGCTGTATGTGCAGGAGGCTTTGGAGCCAATTAGGAAGCAATTTACATCTTTAATCGTGATCCATTATATGGACGATATTCTTATTTGTCACAAAGAGTTAGATGTTTTACAAAAGGCTTTCCCCATGCTGGTGGCTGAATTAAAACAGTGGGGATTAGAGATTGCCCCAGAAAAGGTTCAAATTGCAGATACAGGGCTCTTTTTGGGCTCAATGATTACTCCCAAAAATATAGTTCCTCAGAAAATAGAAATTCGCAAAGACCACTTACAAACATTAAATGATTTTCAGAAACTTCTGGGAGATATAAATTGGTTGAGGCCCTTTTTAAAAATTCCATCTGCTGATCTAAAACCCCTCTTCGATCTCCTGGAGGGTGAGCCTCATATCTCCTCACCCAGAAAATTTACCCCTGCCGCCCACCGAGCCTTACAGATGGTGGAAGAGGCCTTACAGGAAGCACAATTACAACGTATTGAGGAGTCACTACCTTTTAGTCTGTGTGTTTTTAAGACAGCTCAATTGCCAACTGCAGTCCTGTGGCAACATGGACCATTACTTTGGATTCATCCAAATGCTTCCCCTGCTAAGATTATTGACTGGTACCCTGATGCTGTTGCACAGCTCGCGCTTCGCGGAATAAAAGCAGCTGTTACACATTTTGGCAGGGATCCTGATTCCTTGATTGTGCCTTATACTGCTGCACAAGTTCAGACCTTGGCAGCCACATCTAGTGATTGGGCAGTTTTAGTTACTTCCTTTTCAGGACAAATTGATAATCATTTTCCAAAGCATCCAATTTTACAGTTTGCCCTAAACCAGGCTATAGTGTTTCCACAAGTGACAGCTAAAGACCCACTCCCAGATGGGACTGTGGTGTACACTGATGGATCAAAAACTGGTATGGGAGCTTATGTGGTCAAGGATAGGGTTATATCTAAACAATATAATGAAACTTCACCTCAAGTTGTAGAATGTCTGATAGTACTGGAGGTTCTTGAGGCTTTTCCAGGACCCCTCAATATTGTATCAGATTCCTCTTATGTGGTTAATGCAGTTAATCTCCTTGAGATAGCTGGAATAATAAGATCCTCCAGCAGAGTTGCTAACATCTTTCAGAAGATACAAGCTGCCTTGTTAAATAGGAGATTTCCTGTTTTCATTACCCATGTCCGAGCACATTCTGGACTCCCAGGTCCCATGTCCTTAGGGAATGACTTAGCGGACAAGGCTACAAAGCTGGTGGCCGCTGCCTTGTCTACCCATGCACAAGCAGCAAAAGAATTCCATCAGCGCTTTCATGTGACGGCTGAGACCTTGCGCCGTCGTTTTGCTCTATCCAGGAAAGAGGCTAGGGAAATTGTTACTCAATGCCAGAATTGCTGCGAATTCTTACCTACTCCCCACATGGGAATAAACCCACGTGGCATTAGACCATTGCAGATGTGGCAGATGGATGTTACTCATATTCCCTCTTTTGGAAGGCTTCAATATGTTCATGTTTCTGTTGACACCTGTTCTGGCGTAATGTTTGCCACACCCCTAACAGGGGAAAAGGCCTCATATGTGATTCAACATTGCCTTGAGGCCTGGAGTGCTTGGGGAAAACCCAGAATTTTAAAAACAGACAATGGACCAGCATATACCTCTCAAAAATTCCGACAGTTTTGTCGGCAAATGGATGTTACCCATCTAACTGGCCTACCTTATAACCCTCAAGGACAGGGCATTGTGGAACGTGCCCATCGTACACTCAAATCATATCTGATTAAACAAAAGGGGAGTATTGAGGATGTTCTACCCTCGGTACCAAGAGTTGCTGTATCCACGGCACTTTTTACCCTTAATTTCTTGAACTCTGATGCCCAAGGCCACACTGCGGCCGATCGCCACAGTTTAGAGCCTGATAGGCCAAAAGAATTTGTAAAATGGAAAGATGTGCTAACTAATGAATGGAAAGGCCTGGATCCTATTCTTATAAGATCCAGGGGAGCTGTGTGTGTTTTTCCACAGGAGGAAGAAAACCCCCTGTGGATCCCTGAAAGACTCACTCGAAGAGCTCCTTCACAACTCCAGAATAAGAAGGATGGAGGCCAAGTGGGTGATGAAGACTCTCCTACTCGGGATGATGGTTCCTAGTATGATGGGAGAGTTACGGTGGGCCATCATGTCTACCTTCCCCTACCGATGCCAGTGATGCAGAATGCCCAGGTGTTCCCTAGATTTTTCACAACTAATAGAGAGTTGGGGCTTGCCTTTTTGCCTTTAGATCCTCAGATACAGAGTTTTCAGGATGAGAGAACCTTGTCATTAGTAGGAAGCTTGTGCTTTACTGTGATTTCTTCATTAAAGGATAATTTTATTCATATGGATCCAGAAAGATCTAATGCTAATCCTTTTGAATTAATGGAAGCTGTACTGATCTTTCTCCTATGATAGTGAGAAGGGACAGATTACTTTTGATTGGAAAGGGGCATTAGGCAACAGTCTGAGTGAGGGACAGAGCTATGGATCATCTGATTGGTCCTCCTCCAATGTTAAGTATACCCCTTTTAAGAGAACTAATTATTCAGCTGCTCCAATTTGTGTTTGGCTGCCCTTTATTTGGGTTGTGAGTAATGATACCTTAGGTAAGAATCAGAAAGAAATAAATTGCTCTGCTTAGAATTGTTTTTATGCATTATGCTGGGATGCTATTAAGCACCCTTTTGCTTTGGTAATGCGCATGCCTCGATTTGTTCCAGTTCCTGTTGAGACGCCAAGTAATTTGAGTTTGTTTAGGGAAAAGCGAGATTTTTGGGATCTCTGCTATTATTGTGGGCCTGATAGCCACCGCCGCGGTAATGCTTCGGTTACCGCCTCGGCCCTTGCACTTTCTGCCACTGTGCAGACAACTCAAACCATTAATGAACTATAGGCCACTGTGACCATGGTCCTAGATAAACAGGCCACTGCCAATTCTCAGATACAAGGAGGCCTGATGTTGGTAAACCAACAGATTAATTTGGTTCAGGAACAATTGGATATATTGTGGCAGATGGCCCAATTGGGATGTGAACAAAAGTTGCCTGGCCTTTGTGTCACTTCAGTACAATATGAGAATTTTACAAGAGCAGCTAACCTGTCACAAGCTCTGTCTCAACATTTATTACAGAATTGGACTTTTGAGTTTGAGCAGACACTCCGTGAGTTGAGAATGGCGATCCTGCAAGTGAATTCGACGCATCTGGATCTTTCTCTGATGGAAGGCCTCTCCTCCTGGATTTCATCTGCATTTTCTTATTTTAAGGAATGGGTGGGGGTAGGATCATTTAGCCTAGTTCTCTGCTGTGGAATAGTGTTGATGCTTTGGATGGTGTGTAAGCTCAGAGCCCAAACAAAAGAGACAAAGTGGTGGTGGCACAAGCACTTGCTGCCTTAGAACACGGAGCCTCCCTGACATTTGGTTAACCATGTTAAAACAATAGGTCGCTGGCCTCCCAGCTCTTGCACCCCACGAGGCTAGTCTCATTGCACGGGATAGAGTGGGTAGGCTTCAGCAGCCCAAGGAGTTGCAAGGCTAAGCACTGCATAGGAGAGGTCTGCGGTATAACGACTTTCTCCTGGGAGATAAGTCATCTTGCATGAAGGTTCTATGTCATGATCTCCTTCCCCCAGAAAAACGACATCGGACTGGTCAGGGCTCTCTCTGGGGATAAGACCCTGGAGAGGAGCTTTGTACATGTTCCGAATTTGCACATGGGGATTTGACCTCTATCTCCACTCCAAAGTTGTGGGTGTCCTATTGCTTCAAAAATAAATGAATAGGGGGAGATGTGAGGAGCCGCCCTCGCTATCGCTATTGCCGTTAGAAGATGGCGCTGACATCTGCTGTCAGTTGGAGTTAACCGTTAGAAGATGGCGCTGACATCTGCTGTCAGTTGGAGTTAACCGTTTAAGCTGTGCCTCTCCCGTGGCGTCATCTGGGGTGATGTGCAAACCACCAATCCCGGCTCTACACGTCTCACTCGGAGCTCCTAGGCTTATATAAGGGGCTGGGTTTCTTAGCTTGGGGTCTCCCTCTAAGAAGCTGATCATCTATCTCTCAAGATGCATTAAAGCTTTACTGCAGAAGGATCCGAGTGTTCTGCGTCGTTCTTGCTGGCGAGACGGTAGCGCGGGACAACAACCGAGACTGGCCGTCACAGTTGACTTGCATTGCCGTCAGAGATTGCATCAGATCATTTCCCTGAGTTTCAGCTTCAACAAGCATGGGCTAACCCCCATAGTTTTATGCAGCTCCATTCTGCTGATTTGGCTGCCCAGGCCTTCCTCTGTGCTTCAGCTCAGCACCACATCTAGTGTCTCCACAGCTTCGGGGTATTTAACATTCAAAACATTGCCTGAAAATGAGTCAACAAAGCTAGGGCAGGCTGAAAACAGGCTTCAAAAGCAGGACACACAGGCCAAGGGTTGACTGTGATTACAGCCTATGCTTAACATGATGGGTATTGCACATCAGACATTGCTCTAAATGGTTAACACTCTATAGCTCTTGAAAGACTATGACAGAAGAAGTGGTAACACCAGATGAGGAATCTGGACACAGGAAGGTAAGGGAGCATGCTTAGTAATGGAGAGCTATAACTGAAGCCCAGGCCTTGGCCACCAAGTCCTATCTTGTAACCACCATGCAGGACTTTATTGATGATACCAGAAAATGAGAGAGGAATAACTCTGGTTACTTTACAGAACAGCTGAGCAAAGTCTGATCTCAGTAGGAAGGAATATAGAGGAACCAAAATCTAAGGTCAATATTACATGCATGAACGGCTAAGGACAGGAGTCTTAAACTGGGGTGTAGTAGGGCAAAGTCAGAAAGCATGCGAGAATGTGAAAGTTGTGTTCATAATTTTGCTCTAAAAATTATATGTTTGCATCCCAAACAGTGACAGAATATTACTAAAGAAAAGGTCTTAGGCATCCACTCAGACAGATGTGGGAAGTAGGTTGGTATTGAAGAAAGACTATTGGTTTGGTAATTGAAACTACAATAAGAATTCCAGGCCTTTGAGGAGGCCCTTAACTCTTCTGGATGAGTCTCCTCATGTAAAAATGATGCCTCACATATTCAAAGCCAAAATGTCAGTTACAGACCACTTGGCAAACTTTTTTCAGATTTACAACTATTTCTTCTGCACAATTATGGAGCCATTGCTTAATCCACGTAATGGTAATAGGGCAGAAGATTGATTGTCCCAAAGAGGACTTGAAAGTCTTTAAGGGAGCAAGCAGTGGTATTCAGATGTAAGATAAGTGTAATCCGTGTCTACGGGGTAGAAAATTAAGCAGCTAGGACAAGATGAGAACAGCTCACCAGGAACGCGAGCTTGAAGGCAGCTAGTAGGCTAGTATCCGTCAATAAAAGCTTAAGTGCAGGAAGGGATTATTATCAAGCCCATCTTCAGTTAGTACCTTCACAGCTTCCTTCCTTAGTCATTTTTTGACAGAACGACAACAGTCTTGGAGCTAAGAGGCAGGGCATCCCAGGTCCAGCTCTCTCTGCCCCTCTGCCCCTAGTGACTTCAGGGAACCCGGCTTTTTCTTCACTGTCTCCGGCTGTATCCTTCCTGGCCTCGGATCAGCGGAAGTGTCGAACTGAGGTTCCAAGTTCTTGGGTATCTTCATCCAGCTCTTTCCAGCGACTCTACCAGGAAAACGGGGAGATGCAGGCAATGGGAATCAAACTTCCCGCGGGAAAAGTTGGGGCGGGTCGTAAAGAGGAAGGGACCGGAAGTCGCGGTTGCCATAGACACCGATGTGGCCAGCCTCTTCCCCATCTTCTCCTCCTCCGGATCCTCCCGCTGTTTTCACGCGGCCCGAAAAAAGCCAGAACGAGGAAGTGCTGACACACCGGGCCCCACAGATACACCCCGAGGCTGACCACTCGGACGGCCAGCAGATCTGGGACGAGGACCAGACCGGAAATGGTGGTTTCTATGGCAACCACTGAGCGGGTTGCCTGGGAGATGACCCCCTTTGGTCTCTTTGAATCTTAGCTGTAGCATTACCTCGAAGGAGGATCGAACATCCTGGACTGTCTCCTGCCATGATTCCCGGGAAATACCGCTCCGTTTCTGGGCGGGCTGCAAACAATGTGAGCTGGGCCTTCCTGCTTTTTCTTCCTTTCCAGTAGTCTTGTCCTCTCTGACTGGCGTCTTTGTCCTAGGTGATGGGCTGCATAACTGGATCCAGGGCTGCTCAAGCTATTGTCTGACTGAGGCTAGGGTTTCGGGGGCTAGCCCAGAGCACTCGGAGAGTATTTGAATATGGTATGGTGTTGTTTAACACCTTGCCCAAGATCGGAGCTCCCCAGAAGGTGGAGCTGGTCTGCTAGGTAAACACTCGGATTCCTTTAGTGTTCTCCCACCCCCTTTCTTCTCTTTTTTCTATTGAGAAAGGAACCTGTTCTTAGACACTCCCACATCCTTCATTTGAACACTGATATACTGATTGGCAAGAGAAATGGCAGGGATCCAAAGCCTGAGGTACAAGGTGGGTTAAATTGGTGCCTCCGACATTTAAAAAACGTATTGAAAGCTTTTCTTTTAATTCTTAGAGATTATTTTTACAAATCTTCAGAAAATGGTTATTTACTAGAAAAGCAGATAATGATGGTGTTCCAATTTTTGTGATTTTTGTACCGTGTGTGTATATTCATATATATTAAGAATACATTTTGTGATTTAATTTTTACATTTCAGGTGAACTGTGGACTTCATTTGGTTATTCAAACGTCGTCACTTTCTGACAAAAACAAAGTAAGATTTAAGCATATTTGTATTTAAATTTAAGGTAAATGGTCAGATAGTCTAGACAAACAGTTGCATGTTTTAACAATAGATTCTGACCTGGAGATTGAGTATATCTATTTTGGTTTTCAATGTAAAACAGATTTAGTTTTCTGCCTACAAAAAACCTAAATTACCCCCCCTCTTGTATCGACTTAGGTCATTCCATTTGTTACAAGAACCCCCCCCCCCCAACACACACATTTAAACATTTCTGCCGAAGATATTTCTTAGAATTGGTTGTATGGCATAATTTAATTGAAAAATACTTTTAGACATAGGTAAAATCATTGTGTCGTTCTACTGGTGGTATCTCAGGAAGAATAAAATGTAACATTTTAGAAGGGCTTCACTCTGTACTTAATTTCAAATCAGAGAAGAAACACTGGCTTAGCAGTGGAAATATTGTTACAATGTTTTTATAATGTATTGAGTATGAGATTCTTATTTATTTGTGTGCCTGTGTGTCTGTGGAGACCAGAGGAAGGTTGTCAGATCACCTGGAGCTGGAATTACAGGCAATTGTGAGACACCCATCATGGGTACTAAGAACCAAACTCAGGTCCTGTAGAACAGCAGTGGTCTTAACCACTGTACCATCTTTCCACACTCATAGAATTTACCTGTAATATCTTGGAAACGTCTAGAATTGCTGGCTTTTCATTTGGTTTTTGAGATAAAACCTTTTCTTCCTTTCCTGCCTCACCTCAGCACTTACACATACTCACCCACCCTCCCATGCTACTCATTCACTTCTCCATTTAGCCAAAGTGTACATGTTCAGCCATCACAATTCAGTTGTTCTCCAAGAAGTTGTGAAATAGATATCCCTGGAGGAACTCTATAGTATAAAGGTCGGAGTTTACAGACAGCAGCAGGAAGAGAATAAACAAGGGCCAGAGGAAGGTGAATGGAACGGAACCACTAGTTTAGAGACTGCAGCTGCTTAATTATATATAGATGTGAAAACAGCAAACATTTCCTTGTTTGATTTTCCCGGTCTCATCATTTGACCATCTCCAACAGCATCTGAATTAATGGAAAATGTGTTTGTTATGATAATTAAGCATAATGGATTGCTTGTAAAACTTTCCTAATTGCCTTTGTCAAGTTATCATTTTCTACTGTTACGGTGCTTTTAGGAATGCCGTGCTTTTTTTTTTAAAGATACTTTTTGTACCATTCACTTTTCTGTGCATAGACATATGGTGTTCATGATGATAAGATGCAGATGCTGATGTGTTTATAGGATGGGTGAATGAGAAGTATCATATGCCTTTGAAGATAAATCTTTAAAGTTTTTGTGGCTAAACATAAGAGGACATTCTGGTTTTGGCTTTTCAGTCCTACTATGGAAAATTATTTTAAAATTATTAATTTAAATTTTAAAATCTTTCATTTTTAAAAATAAAATAATAATAATAGTTATTATTATTATTTTTCAAGACAGGCTTTCTCTGTGGCTTTGGAGGCTGTCCTGAAACTAGCTCTTGTAGACCAGGCTGGTCTCAAACTCACAGAAATCTGCCTGCCTCTGCCTCCCGAGTGCTGGTATTAAAGGCGTGTGCCACCACAGCCCAGCTAAAATAAAATTATTAAAAGTGACAGTTAAAAATTCTTCTTAAATATGTAATTTTATTGTGTTAAAATAGACATTTAAAGTATTTTTAAAAACAAGACAATTCCATTTAGCTTTTATTGTTTGCATTTCTTTTTTATTGAGCAAATGATTCTTTCAGTCATTGTTTTTTGTAGAAATTAAATTTGTGGAGAGATTGTAAGTATTTTAATCTGATCTTCTATAACTGTCTTCAATTTTATGTTTGGAAAATTACACCTCCTTGCAAATTGCAGTTTAGCCCATTTTAAAGTTTACAGCTCAGTGGCATTAAGCACATTCTCAGTGTTGTGCAACTGTCACTTCTGTTTAGTTCTAGAACATTTCTTCATTCCAAACATAATCCCATATTTGTGAAGCAGTTGCTCCATATTCCCCACTTATTTTAAACCACTTGAAACCATAAATATGCTTTCTGTTTTGAAGGATTTTCCAGTCGTGGACGGTTCTATAAAAGAAATCATATAATATGTAGCCCTTCCTGATTTTTTAAAGGGTCAACCTTTTTTTAAAGCACATTTTATCTGTTATTTTATAATAAACTTCATTCATACTGTTATTTTTTTCTCCCAATACATTTCCTTAAATACTGTTTTGCAGGTTGAATTCAAGCTTAACAGAGAAACCCCATCATTTCCTGGTAGACTGTTACAGCATGACCTGGAGAGAAACTACTCAAGTAGACAAGGTACTGCCAGTGAGCAGAGAACAGAGTCCTTTTCTCTGAACAATATTGCTTAATATTTGTTGTATGGATTACAAAACAAAAAGTTCAGTTGGTTATAAAGTTGGTTTGGTATTTGTTTAAATCAGAATTGGTGATATAGATCTGTGCGCGCGGGCGTGCGCACACTCACACACACACACACACACTCACACCCCATAGTCGATTGCTTCCAATGCATTAAAACAAAACAAACCACCACCCCAAACTCATTTTAGTTTGAAAGTATGTTACAGTAGAGAATAGGAAAAGGATGTTCTGGTCATATATTAGAAATAAAATGATGGCTAATTAGTAGACCTGAGGATATGGAAAGACATGTATCTTGAAAATAAGAAAACAGTGGAATAGAAAGAAACCGTCTTCTTCCCACACTGTCACACAGTCACGAATCACAGGCATTTCATCATCAGAAACCTTAATCTTGATGTGACTCACTTGGAGTTTGTTAAAAATGCAGATTCTTAGTGAGTCTCTCCCCTCTTCCTCATTCTGATTTGGTAGGTTTTGAGTGGTGCTTTGGATGGTGCATTCACAGAGCCAGGGTGATCCTGTCACTTTTGGTGTGGTTTGTGGACCACCCTTATACAGATACTAGGTCATATGTGGTTGTATTTCTGAAACATGTTTTTAAAACCAAAGGAAAGCCTCCTTCCACCTCTGCCTGTTAGGAGCTCTTAATCATCTCCCCCCCCCCCGCCCCTGTGCTTTCTGATCTTGTAGATTTGCCTGCCAAGGGATGATTAGTATAGGCCCTTTGACTGTCCATTTCATTACTGTGAACAGAATTGATTAATATGTCGTGTGTGTGTGTGTGTAGCATCTCTGGGCCTTCCTCTTGGACCCATATAACCTTACCTGTCTTCTTCTCTTTCCTATATCCTCCACTCAAGACTTTGTCAGTTCCTGGAATCCACATCACTTAGCTCTAGTTCCATAGCACAGGAAGCATCTGTCTCCATCTTTCATTTGGTTCCGAGGGTATTCCTAGAGTGTGTGCTGTGCTCTCTCCACTGTTTCCAGTGTGGAGCTGCAAATTCTTAGCTAGAGGTTATTTTATGTCTTCATTGTGAATCTCTCTTAAATTCTTGCCTAGTAGCATCTTGATTCTTCCCTCAACTGTGAACAAAACTTACTTTCTCAAATTTTATCCAGAGTTAAAGGAATTGTGGCTAATTTATATCTGTATGATAAGTGATAAAACATTGCCAAATATTTGCTGATGAGAAAATAGTGTGGATGTATTGATTTTGTGAACCCGAGACAGAGTTTCATATATAAGAGCCATGACCCATAATACAAAATAAATTTAGGCAGAAAGAAATTGAATTTGATTTTTCTTAAAAGATCCCATTCCAAGCCATTCTCTGTGACAAGACACTTATTTGATATGTCTTAAATGTGGATCATTTCCAGTGCATTCTTTCCACGCTCTAGGCAGTGTTATGAGAGAGAGCCTCATGAGTTGTAGCTGTCATCT